AAAAACACTAAAAATTCCCCCAAAACCACCAAAAATCTCCTCAGAAACCCCAAAATATTCCTCAAAAATCTCAAAAATTCCCTCAAAAACCCCAAAAATCCCCTCAGAAATTCCCTCGAAAACCCCAAAATCAACTCAGAAATCCCCCTAGAAACCCCAAAAGTCCCCCCAGACACCAAAATCCCCTCAGAAACCCCCAAAAATTCCTCAAAAATTCCTTCATAAAAGCCAAAAATCCCCTCAAAAGCCCCACAATCTTCTCAGAAACCCCCAAAAATTCCTCAAAAATCTCAAAAATTCCCTCATAAAACCCAAAAATCCCCTCAAAAGCCCCACAATCTTCTCAGAAATCCCCTCAGAAACCCCAAAAATTCTCTCAGAAATTCCCTCAGAACCCCCAAAATCCCCTCAGAAATTCCCTCAGAAACCCCCAAAATCCCCTCAGAAATTCCCTCGAAACCCCCAAATCCCCTCAGAATCCCCAAAATTCCCCAAAATCCCCTGGGAATGCCCAGAGCCCGGCGCTCACCCCGGCACTCGGATGCCCAGTGCCCTTTCCCACCACACCGAAAACAAAGATCGCCTCCGCTCCGGAACTTTTTCCTCCATTTCTGCCTCCAAACCTGGGAGAAAAAAAAAAATCCCAAAATTCCAGCGAGAGAAAAGCCGGGAATTTCCTCACAAAAAAAAAAAAAAAAGAAATTGTACCTGTTTGCGGAGGAATTTTCCCCTCAGGGATGCACGGGAATAGGTTTTTCTCTTCAGATTCAGGCGGACGAAATTCCCAGCCGGGGCTCTGAGGGGATGAAAAAGGGCGGGAAAGTCGGAAAAGGAGGGAAAAGGCAGAAAAAAAAGGCGGGAAAAGGGAGTTCTGAGGGGATTTTTGGGGTTTCTGAAGGGATTTTTGGGGGTTTCTGAGGGGATTTTTGGAGTTTCTGAGGGGATTTTTGGGGTTTTTCAGGGAATTTTTTTGGGATTTTTGAGATTTCTGAGGGAATTTTTGGGATTTCTGAAAGGATTTTGGGGTTTCTGAAGGGATTTTTGGAGATTTTTGGGGGTTTCTGAGGGGATTTTTGGGGTTTTTCAGGGAATTTTTTTGGGATTTTTGAGATTTCTGAGGGAATTGTTGGGATTTCTGAAAGGATTTTGGGGTTTCTGAAGGGATTTTTGGGGGTTTCTGAGGGGATTTTTGGGATGTCTGAGAGGATTTTTGGGATTTCTTGGGGGGGTTTGGGGTTTTTCAGGGGAATCTTTGGGATTTCTGAGAGGATTTTGGGATTTCTGAGGGAATTTTTTAGAATTTTTGAGAGGATTTTTGGGATTTCTGAGGGAATTTTTTGGGATTTTTGAGGGGATTTGGGGATTTCCCAGAGGTTTTTGGGGATTTCTGAGGGGATTTGGGGATTCTGAGGCCATTTTGGGATTTCTGAGAGGTTTTTTGTGGTTTCTGAGACGATTTTTGGGATTTCTGAGGGCATAATGGGATTTCCGAGGAGATTTTTGGGGTTTCTCAGGGAAGTTTTGTTGTTTCTGAGAGGATTTGAGGATTTCTGAGGGGATTTTTGGGGTTTCTGAGGATTTTTAAGGAGATTTTGGTGTTTCTCAGGTGATTTTGGGGTTTTCTGAGGAGATTTTGGGCATTTCTGAAGGAATTTTTGGGGTTTCTGAGAGGATTTAGGGACTGGGATATTTGGAGATTTCTGAGGGGATTTTTGGTGTTTCTAAGGGGATTTTTTGGGATTTCTGAATGGATTTTTGGGGTTTCTGAGGGGATTTTTGGGATTTCTGAGGGGATTTTTTTTTTTATTTTGGAGGGGTTTGGGGGATTTCTGAGAATTTTGGGGTTTCTGAGGGGATTTGGGGATTTCTGAGGGGATTTTTTTTTGGGGGGGCTTTAATTTTGATATTCTTTCAGATTTCTAGGGGCTTTAATTTTTGGGATCTCCAGTTTTGAGATCTTTAATTTTGGGGAGTCTCAAATGTTGGGATTCTCTAGTCTTGGAAAAGCTGGGGAAAAAAAAAACCTTGGAAAAATGGAAAAAAGCCAGAAAAAAATGGGGGAAAAGCTTGTAAAGTTGGAAAAAAGGCGGGAAGCTGGAAAAAGGTGGGAAAAACTGGGAAAAAGGCTGGGAAAAGCCAGGAGAAAGGCAGGAAAATCTGAAAAAAAAGTGGGAAAAGCATGAAAAAAACCAGGAAAATAGGAAATAAATCAGGAAAAAGGCAGGAAAAGCTGGAAAAAACCCAGGAAAAGCTGAAAAAAACCTGATAAGGTGGAAGTAAACCGAGGAAAAGGCGGGAAAAGCAAGAAAAAAAAGTGGAAAAAGTGGGAAAAGGCAGGAAAAACCAGGAAAAGACTGGGGAAAATGGAAATAAACCAGGAAAAAGGCTGGAAAAAATCAGGAACAAAGGTGGGAAAAGGCAGGAAAAAGGTGGGAAAAGGCAGGAAAAAGCCAGGAAAAAAGCAGAGAAAAAGCTGGAAAAGGCAGGAAAAAAGTGGGAAACAGCAGAAAAAGACAGAAAAAAAATGGGAAAAGGCAGGAAAAAGGTGGGAAAAGGCAGAAAAAATGCGGGAAAAGAAAGAAAAAGGTGTAAAAAAAAAGGCAGGAAAGGGAAGAAAAAGGTGAGAAAAAAGGCAGGAAAAATGTGGAAAAAAGTTAGGAAAAAGTTGGGAAAAGGCAGAAAAAAGGCAGGAAAATCTGGGAAAAAAGTGGGAAAAAAGTGGGAAAAGCAAGGAAAAAACCTGGGAAAAGAGGAAATAAACCAGGAAAAAGGTGGGAAAAACAAAACAAAACAAAAAGCAAGTGGGAAAATTGGAAATAAACCAGGAAAAAGGCTGGAAAAATGTGGAAAAAGTGGGGGAAAAGTTGGGAACAAAGGTGGGAAAAGGCAGAAAAAAGACAGAAAAAGCTGGAAAAAAGGTGGGAAAAAGGCAGAAAAAAGCCAGAAAATGGCTGGAAAAAAACAGAAAAAAAGCAGAGAAAAAGCTGGAAAATGCAGAATAAAGGTGGGAAAAGCCAGCAAAAGGTGGGAAAAAGGCAGGAAAAAGGTGGGAAAAGGCAGGGAAAAATGGGAAAAGACAGAAAAAAGGCGGGAAAAGCAAGAAAAAGGTGTAAAAAAAGGCAGGAAAAGGAAGAAAAAAGGTGGGAAAAAAGGTGGGAAAAGGCAGAAAAAAGGCAGGAAAATCTGGGAAAAAAGTGGGAAAAGCAAGGAAAAACCTGGGAAAAGAGGAAATAAACCAGGAAAAAGGCAGGAAAAAGGTGGGAAATGGCTGGAAAAAAACAGAAAAAAAGCAGAGAAAAAGCCAGAAAATTCAGAAAAAAAGGTGGGAAAAGCCAGCAAAAGGTGAGGAAAAGGCAGAAAAAAGGTGGGAAAAGGCAGGAAAAAATGGAAAAAAGCAGGAAAAGGGCAGGAAAAGGCAGAAAAAGGTGTAAAAGAAGTCAGGAAAAAGGTTGGAAAAAAGTTGGGAAAAAGCAGAAGAAAGTGGGAAAAGGCAGAGAAAAGGCAGGAAAATCTGGGGAAAAAGTGGGGAAAAAGTGGGAAAAGCAAGGAAAAAACCTGGGAAAAGAGGAAATAAACCAGGAAAAAGGTAGGAAAAACAAAACAAAACAAAAAAACCTGGGGAAATTTGAAATAAACCAGGAAAAGGCTGGAAAAAGGTAGAAAAAGTGGGGGAAAAGTTGGGAACAAAGGTGGGAAAAGCCAACAAAAAACGGGAAAACTCAGAAAAAAGTGGGAAAAGCCAGAAAAAATTGGGAAAACCGAGGAAAAACGGGACTCACCGAGCTTTGCGTGTGGCTTTGCCTTTTCTCTCCTCCTCTTCCTCCTCTTCCTCCTCCTCCTCTTCCTCCCACCGGATTTTTCCGCCCGGATCCGGCGCCGCCGCGGCTCCGATTTGGGATTTTTCCTCCTCCTCCCCTTCCCGAGCCGAAATTCCGGGAATTCTGCGGAGCTTGGCCGGAGTCGCCGCGGCGCCGGCGCCGTCCCGGGGCCGTTTCTTCCCAAAATTCCCGAAATCTGCCGGGAATTCCCGAGGGTTTTCCAGGATTTCCTCGCAGCGCCGGATCCAGCCGGGATCCAGAGAAGCCAAAGTTCGCCCAACGTTCCGCCGGAGCTGCCGGAACCTTCCGGAATCCGGGGGAAATCCGGGATTGGGGACGGGATCCGGGAATTCCGGGGAATTTTCGGGATCTTTTTCCGGCAGAGAAGTTTCGGCGTCGAGATCCGGTGGTTTCGGTGGTTCGGGATTCGGTAAATTTTGGGAATCGGAGATTTTTGGGGGTTTCCCGGGATTTGGGGTCCTGCGAGGGGTCAGAGGCGGCTCCTGGAGGGAAAAAAATCCCAAATTTTTTCAGCTTTGGAATTGCAAATCCCAAATCCGAGTTTTGGGGTTCTTAATTTTGGGGGTTCCCAAATTTTGGGGTCGCCAATTTTTAGGGTTTCAAATTTTGGGATTCTCCAATTTTGGGAGTCCTTAATTTTGGAGAATCCCAAGTTTTGGGATCCCAAATTTTGGGATTCTCCAACTTTTGGGGTCTCAAATTTTCAGGGTCTTTAATTTTGGGGGATCCCAAATTTTGGGATTCTCCAACTTTTGGGATTCTCCAACTTTTGGGGTCTCAAATTTTGGGGTCTCAAATTTTCAGGGTCCCAATTTTTGGGATTCTCCAACTTTTGGGATTCTCCAACTTTTGGGATTCTCCAACTTTTGGGGTCTCAAATTTTGGGGTCTCAAATTTTCAGGGTCCAAATTTTTGGATTCTCCAACTTTTGGGATTCTCCAAATTTTGGGGTTTCTGATTTTTGGGGGTCTCCAATTTTTGGGGGATTCCCAAATTTTGTGATTCTCCAACTTTTGGGGTCTGTGATTTTCAGGGTCTTTAATTTTGGGGGATCCCAAATTTTGGGATTCCCTGAAGTTTGGGATTCTCCAAATTTTGGGGTCTCAAATTTTCAGCATCCCAAATTTTGGGATTCTCCAACTTTTGGGGGTTTCCCGGGATTTGGGGTCCTGCGAGGGGTCAGAGGCGGCTCCTGGAGGGGAAAAAATCCCAAATTTTTTCAGCTTTGGAATTGCAAATCCCAAATCCGA